GTGTGATCCTATATGTCTTAGTCATAGGGGAGTAGGAAACCTGAGGAAGAGCGGTGGGGCTCCAATCGGTGGTTGCCAGAGAACGCTTCACCATTCCCCCCAGTTCCTTGGCCTGATGGGAAGGATGTAGGGCCAGGGAAACATGGGGCACTGCTTCGTCTGCCATCATGTACCAGGGTAATTGGTCAGGGGTAAGGGATACAGCAGCTGCCACGCCTTCAGGGGCGACAAAAATGTCAGACACCCTAATTTCCCAGGCATTTCCTTCACAGGAGTTCTGGAACGCCTGTTGGTACCAATTGGTATCTTGTCTGTCATAAAAGAGTGTTACATGAGGAGGGTCAGGGGGCGGAACATACGGGTGAACCTGACAAAGCCAAGGCCTCCATTGTTGGTAGGCGGACACAATTCCAGGGGCCTGTGGGTTTTCAGGATCCAGCAAGGCCCAGTAGATATCTGCAGAGTCAGGTATTGAGGGTAGAGTCTGAGCCAGGTATATTCCTTCTGGCATCATAGATCCGTCACAGGGCAGCACCGTACCTTCCGGTAGGGTCACAGTTAGTCCATTGGGGGAACACAGAATTGTTGCCCCCAATTTAATGAGCAAGTCTCGTCCCAGGAGATTCACTGGAACTGATGGTGAGCACACGTAGCTATGAAACACAGTTTGTTCCCCCACCTTAGTTGGAAGAGGCAGGGTGTAGGGCAGAGTTTGTGGTTCCCCAGAGAAGCCCATCACTGTAGTATGGCGGTTGGATGTTTTGTTAGCTGGTGCAGATTGAATGGTGGAGTGCGTGGCTCCTGTATCAACCAGGAAGTCTCTCTTTATTCCATCTACAGTTATAGACAGCATGGGGTCTGCCGTGGTCCCCTCACCGTCCGTGGCTCCCTGTGGGGTGTCCTATGCTTGTGGACCACCCTCATAGTACTCCCAACCCATAACAGGCATTTGGTTTGGGAGTGGCGCTTGGGGGCCCGGACGGGGACCTCTTTGTCCACGACCAAATCTTCCTTGTCCTCTCATGGTGTTAGGAGGCATAGGGCAGTTTCTAGCCCAGTGTCCCTGCTGCCCGCAGTTATAACAAGTGTCTCTGGGCGTTGGGATGCCTCGGCCTCTACCAGGTCGCCCCTGACCCCGCCCTCCGAAACCTCCTCTATGACCTCCGTATGGGGGTCCTTGAGCCACAAATGGAGCTGGCTGTGGATTATATCCTGGTAACTGCGGCGGCTGCTGCCAGGGGTTTGGGTATTGATTAGGGATTGGTACAGCTGGGGGAGGAGCAGCGGTGGCAACCATTTGTTTCTTGGTCTTGTCCCCCTTTTCACCTAGAGTCTTTTTTGCGGCTTGTAGCTGCACTCTAAGGAGCTGTTTCTGCAGTTCCTCTAGATTGTCTGATTCCTTTTCCTCTGTAACCTGGACTTTGTTGAGGTTAAAAATCAGGTGATTTTTCCATTTATTGAAATCGCAGTCAGCCAATTCAGGGTTGTCTTCCATTTTATTGTTAACGGTTTCCGGGACTCCCCTAAGAACAGCTTTCCTAAACCACAGGCTTTGGGAACTTTCTCTGCTGGGGTGATGTCCTGTATGGTTCACCCAGTCATCTATGGCTTTGTTCAAATAATTGGTGGGATTGGTTTTCCCATCCCATTTGAATTTATGGAGGGTTCCCTGATTTTTAGGTGGAAATTGTTTGCGTAGGGCTGGTCCTAAAGTCCTTAATACCTGCAACAATGGTACCTCATTCCCATATAGGGTGGTTCCTGCATTTTGTTCCAGATCTGCAGCCTGAGACCTGGATGTGCATCTGGTGATGATGGCCCTGAAATCTCCCAGAGCAAGGTCCTGTCCTGAGGTATATTTATCCAAATCTGCCAACCAGGCATTTCCTCCTTCTACAATGTCTGGAAGCTTATCAACCAGAGCTTGGATGTCTCCAAATGTGTATGGTTGATATACCTTTGGGCCACTTGTTTTGGCCTGGACAAGAGGATATTGTCCAGGTAGATTCGACGCAGTCCCTTTTGATCTGGTGTGGTAAGAGTGTCCGCCTGGGATCGGAGTTACCTGATCTCTACGGTGTGACGTTTTGTGTTTAAGGCTTAGGTCCACTAACTCAGCCTCTATTCCATTTATTGGGTCCTCATCATCTTGTCTAGACCATTCTTTATCTGAGCCAGCGTCCGTACTGGAACATGTCTGTTCTTCTAGTTCATTGTGACCTATCAGATTCATGGTAACCACCAGGTTCTGTGGTGTGGTCTGCTCAGTTTGAGCGGCAGCTCTCAGTTCACCTTTAACGGTGAAAGGGTTGTTCGGGTTGAATGGTAAAGCTGTAGCTAAGGAGTCTGGTGGTGGTGGGCAGATAGGAGTAAAACTACCTGTCCATTGTGTTGTTTGTTGTGGTCTGGGTATAGGGGCCTCCCTAGCCTCCTTCATGGTGTTTTCCAACTCTTCTACCTGTTGTCTGACCATCTCTTCTACCTGTTGTCTGATCATTCGGCCGGTGAAGGGCAAAACGTCACCGTTTGTCACGGAGGGACAGGATGACCTTGGGGTGGAGGGCCTGTCATCGTTAATCTGTTTTGCTTCTGACAGGGATGAACAAGCCTGTTGATTACTCATGAAAATATCTTTTTTATCCTGCTGGGCTATAGGCGACACTGAGAATAGAGGAGCAGTAGGCTGTTCCTCCTCTATGGACATCACTCCTCCGGTTATGTTAAGTACCGGGTATATGCCTGAGTAAGGTGGTGGCTGTTTATCCGCTACATTTTGTTCTATTTTTCTTTTCTTCATTTTAGGCTTTGCCATTTTCCACAGCAGGGCCCACTGATTGTATTTGGCTTTGCGTGCTGTCAATTTTTCTACTTCTTTCTGATGCTTTTTCTTCCCAAACATCCCAGCATTTTCCATCAGTTTTCGTGCTTCCTCCTCTTTCTTTTCTGTTTCTGTTACCTTCTGTCCCCAAATTGTTCCCCAATTCCCTGCACTATTTACATCCTTTCCTTTCTCCTTCATCAACTTCTCCGCTGTCTTTCTTAATAGCTTCTTCTGCTCTGTCGCTTCAGCTGGGGCATTTGTGGTGCTGATCACTGTTTCTAAACACGCTAGTTGTTCTCCCAGTGTGTTCAGGATCTCGTTTGGTCCCCACCCATCATCTATTTGCTCTTTATCAAACTCTCCGTCCATTTTTCTTTTAATGGTAGGAGTTAATCTTTATTGATTTTGGTGGCGATTTAGATCAGCGAGGTCTTAGTTCCTATTGAACTCTAATCACTGATTTTTTATCGTGAGATAGTACTAAAAACCGTTGTGGTAACTTCCAAGCTTCTACCTTTTCAGGCGGGAAGTTCTTACCTGTGCATCCACAAGGGCGTACTATATTGGTTCTCACTCAGTATTTTACACTTAATATCAGCAGTTCATTCATTCAACAGTTCATTCATGCATTACCCTCCTAGTTGCGGTTCATAATGCTGCGCGTCCGCTTATGAATATTAATTAGTATATGAGTGTAAATAGTCTATGTGTTTTCACTTTAACCTTAATTTGGCTCCGCTAGCTGTGAGCCGATTCCAATGTGAAAAAGAAAGGGGATGTGAGGTCCTTTCTTGTTATGTAATCTGATATTTCAGAGAGGACAGGGTCCTTCCCCTGAAATACAGCACTCACACTTTGTGTATTTATGTGAACAAAAATAGAAGAACACAACCATACAGGTCCCAGACCTGTAGTAACACTTCCTAAGATCCCTGATCTTTCTCAATCGTTTAGGGGACTTTTTTTCCCCAAGGTCCCCGACCTTAAGATCCCTGATCTTGTACAAAGTTTTGTTTAGGAGGCTTTCCCCCAAGGTCCCCGACCTTTTCCGGGCTTTTAATATTGTCAGAGGAACTTGTGCTCGTCAGCTGTAGTTCGTGACAATCCCAGAAATTCTATCTTTCTATTCTATAAAACTCTTTCAGATCCCAGACCTGTTCTTTTAGAGTTTCAGTTTTTGTCTCCAACTCTTTACAATTATATCAAATTTACTGACCTCAGTTGCCAGGAACCCCGACACAAATTAGTTTGAATATGTTCAATGAGCAGATTTTGTATAAAAAGGTCTGCTTACCTTAATCTTTGTCGGCCGTTGTGTCTGGGTCCCGGCTCCTGAGTCTGGTTTCGAATTGGTCTCTTCTGCCTCCCTCTCTCATCAGCTGAGAGAGGATCCTGTTCGTGACGCCAATTTTGTTGGTTTTATGCTCTGTTAAAACCAATACAGGTACGAGGTCATCAGAAGAGGATGGAAGATGTTCTGTTCTCTGCTTCAAGGGTTGGAGTCAAGAATCAGAAACCTGTTCAAAGTTCACCGCAGCAGTGGAGAAGCTCACAGCCTCATACAGAACCCGCGCTCTGTCCTGACAGCTGTCTCTGAGATTCTGTCTTCCTCTGTTGAAGCGGCTGTATTTATTGAAGCTCCACACGCCCGCACTCAACCGCAGACTTTTTGACAGCTTGCACAAAATATGAGTTAGGCGCTTAAAGGTCGAGAAATAACAGGAAACCCTAGTTCCTGTTTACCAGTACAGGGTGGAAAGTACCGAGCAAGATAGAACATGCACTTGGCTTTCTGCTAAGGCATGCAAGTTTCTAGTTAAACTGGACGAGAGAGCATTACAGAGAAAAGTACATATCTTATATCTTCAAAACTCAGAAATAATAATACACTTTAACTTGCTATTTAATTACTATGTAAGTACTTAGTAATTAGGGAACTGTGAAAGGAAGTGTTACCAGTTAATTGAATGGAACATTGCTCCAAATAAATGATGGAAAATAAATCCTAATCCTAACTTTTGAAAACATTTGACATTATTGTATTTATTTTCAGAAATACACAAAAAAGATGAAAAGTATTTCTGTACTTAAAAAAATTGCTCTTGTATACAAACTGAAAGTAAAAAAATCAAAACAAGGACAGGACAATAATAGATGCTGAACAGTTTCTGTCGCTTACGAAGTGGATCCAGATCATCAGGTCTGTTGACAAATCTCAGCGTGGCGTCTCTGGGGTCGTATTTTTTCTCCTCCTGAGAGCTCATGTTGGATCTGATCAGCTCGTCTGCTTGCCCTCAGGAAACACCCGCTGAGGCTTCTGCTGAAGAGGAGTGGCTGTTTATACTTTCACTTTCTTACCCTAATTAATCCTAATTTACAGTAAGTCACATGACTGACATAAAACATTTTACTGTAAATGCAAAGTTCCTGAAATGCTAAAGGTTATGGATGGCTTTGAACGTATATAGGAGAATTTTGAATTGGATTCTGGAAATGACTGGGAGCCATTGGAGTTGCTGAAGAACAGGGGTGATGTGGTGGAAGGAGGGAGTTCTGGTAATGATGTGGGCTGCCAAGTTCTGGAGAAGTTGGAGTTCACGGAGGGATTTATGAGGAAGACCGAAGAGAAGAGAGTTGCAGCAGTCAATACGGGAAGTGATGAGGCTGTGGACAAGGATGGCGGCTGAGTGAGTAGTGAGGGAGGGGCGGAGGCCATTAATGTTGCATAGATGGAAGTATGCAGACCAGGTAATATTGTTTATGTGGGACTGGAAAGACAGTGAGTAGTCGAGGACTCTTGACCAGAGGGGAGGGGGAAACTAAGGAGTTGTCGATAGGAAGTTTAAAGCTTTGGATTTTGGAAAGTAAGGATAATCAATTTCCCTCTGGGATTAATAAAGTATTTTTGAATTGAATTGAATTGAATTGATAAAGTGCTGACAAGTAACATTTCTGTTATATCACTGCTAAGTTTGAGAAAGTTTGAGGTGAACCAGTCTTTGATTTCAGATAAACAATTGGTAATGGAGGAAGGAGGGAGTGAAGAGGAGGGTTTGGAGGATACACAGAGCTGGGTGTCATCCGCATAACAATGAAAATGGATGTCAAATTTACAGAAAATATTTCCCAGGGGAAGAAAGTAAGTGATGAAAAGAAGTGGACCGAGAACAGAGCCGTGGGGGACGCCGGTAGTGACAGGGAAGGGACGGGAAGTGAAGGATTTGAATTGAATGAACTGACCTAGTACCAGTGCAACCTGTATCACCTGTAGCAAAAATGCCGTAAAAGTACCTCTAAAGTAACTCCATTAAATTATGGTGACATAAAGGTTTAAAAGATGAATCATTTGGAAATTTTTGAGACTGTAGTGGTTTGCTTATTTTCACTAGCAGTTAGCTTGTCAGTCTGATTATACAATATTAGTACAAGAATATTAAATGCATGATAATGGATTATATTTAGCAGCAGATAACTGATCTCATCACTTTAGTCATTATTTGAGAGAAACAATGCCTTTAACACCTTTAAGCTCTTTTTAAAAAATGATAAAGATGTAGCGTTTCAGAGCTAACCACCGGCTATTTTCTATCTGCATTAGTTAAACACAGCATACATAAAATAAAATACAAATCTGCATTTCACACAAACTCAGCGTTAAAACAATAGTTTGTGGTTAAAGATGATAAGCTTTCAATCAGTTTTATCATTACACCGAACGTGATGATCAGTATAAACAATTCATCAGAACAAATATAAAATTATGTTCTATTGGAAAAAAAACACTTACAGAATTTTTTTATTGAATTTGTCTACTTTTCATCTCGTTATTGTAAATAGTCATCGAATCTTATAATAGTCATAGGAAAATATTGAGGTCTGACCAGGGATTGTAAAGGAATATAGTTACATCCCTTTTTGTGAGGTAATTTGTTCGTAAGCGTTGTTTCCGAGGAACCCTGAACGCAGCATAGAACCATGCTGCATGAAGCGAAAGGAAAATAAATGTTTACTAATCTGCTCTGACAGGTAAAAAATCTCCGTAAATTACTGTAAATAAAAAGCTGCAGGGCCTAACTGTGAAGAGTGTCTGTAGAGTCTGACAATCACAGCTGAAGGTAGCAGTGGCGGCTCCAGAAATGTTTTTCCGCAGGTGCTATGAAGGAGCTAGTCTTTTTATTGAGGGTGCTATGAAGGAAGTGGTCATGTGTACCTATTGTTCTCTAAAACACCTTCAACACTAGCAGATACACATGCGTGCACAAAACCTCAACAACACCTGAAACAATCATTAATATACATCATAAACATATGAACAATCGCTGACTTGTCCATGAAATCATAAACACATACAGCCACACAGAAAACCATAGTGTTGCAAGGTTAGCTAACGTTAGAGTTAGCATTTCCAGTGGCAAAACCCTCGACTGCTGTGGCGGTTGTGGGTTGACTCTTCATCCAGATCCGTAGGTTTTTGTGGGTCTGAGATCACGTCCAAACATTCATTCACTTCTGACTGAACCCGTGGAAATTTGGGCAACAAAAAGCGATCCATTTTACCACTAACTCCACCTTTCACTCGTTCACAGGTGGAACATGAGGTCAAAGGTTAACATCAATTTCCTGTTTTGGTTGAAGTTTTTAGTATCTATATGATAATTTACTGATTAATTTTGTTTTGTATGTTAAATATTAAGACATCCACACGGTAAATTAAAATTGAATTGTAAAAAAAAAAAAAATCTAATATTTACTTGGGGATGCTATGACTAATACAGGGGTAGCTATAGCTACCCCCCGGCCCCTCTGGAAGGTAGGTTTGTTATTTTGTGTTTTTGTTTGTTTAGAACTTGTTTTTCTTTCCAAAATGAGAAGAATCACTCTGCAGTGGCTGGTAGCACTGGTGCAGGGTGGTGGTGCAACCGGGCCCGCGGGCAAGGCAGGCCCAGAGAGAGACTCGTAAGAGAGAGCGTGTGCGTCGATCAGCCAGTCGACCTCATAACAGCAACAACGATAATATCATTACAACTCAATAACCTGCTAAAATGCATTAGAAATCACATCATCCTCAATAATTTTTTTATCAGTAGCCCTGCTCCTTCTCTACTAGATCACATCCATTTGCCATCATCAAAACACTTTTCACAATTGTATTTGGTTATGTGATTTCACAAGCTTTTTATTTGGGAGGTGGGGGTTAAAGCAACACTTGCACCGGGGCCCAGCTCAAACTAGCTACGCCACTGTCCGTCAGAGAATGAACTGGTGACTTAAAGGGTTCTGGAACAACTGGTTAGTGTTTCCTCATACTGGTTAACTTCTGCCACAGATATGCCAAAAATGTATTAAACAACTGGTGTTGCATTCTGCATTCATGGATTATTAAGTAATCTATCATTTGTAATCACGATTAATACTTTTATTATTTTCATTACACATTTTCTAAGTAGGCTATGCTTTAAATAGTCCAATCTTTCAAGTATTCATTATTTAGTGACAAAGCCTGATGACCAGGCTGGATAATTTATCTAGTTAATTAGATTTTCTTTAATTATTTCAAATATTGAGGCAACTGTAAACTTAAACGTCACACAAAAGAGTTTTACTCTTGCATCACAAAATCTCTTGGGGCACTTTATTGAATCCATCCATCAATTTTCTTCCGCTTATCCGGAGTCGGGTCGCGGGGGCAGTAGCCTAAGTTGAGAGGTCCAGACTTCCGTCTCCCCAGCCACTTGGGCTAGCTCCTCCAGGGAAATCCCAAGGTGTTCCCTGGCCAGGTGAGAGACATAGTCCCTTCAACGTGTCCTGGGTCTACTTTTAGGTCTCCTCCCAGTTGGACATGGCCAGAAAACCTCACTAGGGAGGCGTCACGGAGGCATCCTGACCAGATGTCCGAGCCACCTCAACTGGCTCCTCTCGATGTGGAGGAGCAGCGGGTCTACTCCGAGCCCTTCCCGGATGACTGAGCTTCTCACCCTATCTCTAAGGGAGAGCCCAGCCACTCTGCAGAGAAAACTCATTTTGGCCGCCTGTACCTGCAATCTTGTTCTTTTGGTCACTACCCAAAGCTCTTAATAATCAAGCTCCATCATACATCAGTGATCTGATTGTGCCATACGTTCCTAACCGAGCACTTTGCTCTCAGACTGCAGGTTTACTGGTGGTTCCCAGAATATCTAAACTTAGGATGGGAGGCAGATCTTTTAGTTATCAGGCTTCTCTCCTGTGGAACCAGCTCCCAGCTTTAGTTCGTGAGGCAGATACCTTGTCTATTTTTAAGAATAGGCTTAAAACATTTGTATTTGATAGGATCTATGGTTAAAATCTGATGTTAGCCTAGATCTGGACAAGTGGGGGAGTGGAGTCAGGTGAAGTGTACAGTCGGTAAAGACGACTCTCCCTTGCCCTGCCTCCAACATGCCTCCATCTAAAAAAGGTTATCCAGAGTTATCTCTGTAGTTATGCTGCTATAGGCTTAGACTGCTGGAGGACACACTGGCCACTTTTCTCACTCTACTGCTTTCTTCTACAATCTGCTCTTTAACTGTATTATTTCCTGCTATTTCAGCTGCTAACTTTATTTTCTCTCTAAGTGTTTTTTCTCCCCAGAAGAAGCTACAATGATGTTCTGCTGAGCTGTGGTGGCCTCATGGAGGGGGGCATCGTCTAGCACACTGCTGCTAATCACTTAAACATTCTCCCTCTCCTGATAATAACTTTTTGCTTTCCTTGATGTTGGATGTGCTACTACTAGTTTATCCATTTAATTATAGATCCACTAGGATAAACACAATAAAATTGATCTCTCACCAAATAGACTATTTACTAAGCACTAAGTGTGTGTGCGTGTGTGTGTGTGTGTGTGTGTGTGTGTGTGTGTGTGTGTGTGTGTGTGTGTGTGTGTGTGTGTGTGTGTGTGTGTGTGTGTGTGTGTGTGTGTTACATGGATAGGACTGCATGAGACAGCGTGGTTTCATCAAATCCATGCATCTTATATCTTGGCTGAAGTAATGGCTCAGGAAAATAACTTATATTTCATAAATAATGACGTCTCAGCAGTGTTTATGATAATGTTTCATCTTATCTTTGGTCTGGGAGGTGTAACTTATCATGATACAAGCCTTTTAAAACATGTTAAAGTGTTACAAGAGGAGATAAATGCATGAATTTAAAGTTCATGTTTGGAGACCAACCTTCACAGTTTGGAGGCTCACGCTGGTGAGGAGACACCATTAGTTCTAGTAACACCTGGGCTCCCAAGGCCTGTTCTGACAGGATGGATGTTATGGGACTCTTAAGGGTTCCAGTTGGATGATTGGAGGATTATTTAGGAGGATAC